GGTTTTCACTAGAGACTCAACTGAATCCCAGCTTAATCTCTCTTTTGTGCTAATTTTCTATCTATTGTTTTTTAGGACTACAAGAAGACCCTCAAGGTCACCTGGTTGGCTGATCCTGGAAAACAAAATCCTTCACTTACCCCAGTCACTTGTCTAATTTATGATCACCTGTTGACTAAGGCGATCATTACCAAAGACGACGATTTCAAGTTGTTCATCAATCGGGAATCCAAGGTGAGTTATTTTCTGATACTAACCTTCAGCTGTTCGTTGCTAGGTCAAATCAGTTTGAAAAACACAATGTTAGGGTTATCGTTCTTTTGTTCACGTGTTATGCTCAAGGATCGGATAAGTTCACAGGGTGGATGTAGTGACGCGGTACGATCGTGACGATACTCACTCACTGATTTAGACTTGTTAGGAATCAATGGGAACCGTGGTAAGGACAACACCAATAGAATTATTCTGTGAGTTACGCCGAATCTGTTCTGTCGGCGGCCTAACGCCTTAGTGCCATCAGGGTATTATCTCGGATTCGGTGTGTACCGCTACACAGTGTTCTTAATCCTGCACCACTGAGCCACACTATCTGGTATCTTTAGGGCTTGTTCCTACTAACACCAAAGGTTATAGTTACTGTAACAGGACTGTTTTCTTACGATTGTTCGGCAACCCAACATGGGTAGCTGACATATGATCGATCGTGAGCGAGCGGTGCACTGGGTATTGTGGATTGTAGGCCATCTGGTTTTTGTTGTCGCAGAATTCATACTTCTGAGACTTGAGTTGACAATAGGGAACTGTTCTTTCCCACACAACGCAACTGTTTTTCCTGATGTTTACTTTTGGGAAGGTTCGTTGTCAAATGCTTCGTGCCTTTAGCTATGTATACAAGCCTCAGTTTTTTTCCTCCTAGACCGAACAATGTCTCTTGGGGGATCCCGCTTTGAAGGATTTGAAGAAGGGTGACATTATCCAACTTCAGCGACGTGGCTACTATATTTGTGACGCTCCATACGAATCAAAATGGTAAGTTTCGAGACAAGCGGATTACGAGATTTTCTGCATCTAGATTGACCTCAGTTTTTGTTGTTAGTTGATAGTCATAAAACAACATTTTCTTCTAAGAACTTCATCGTGCACCTCGCTTCGGTTACGTGGCAGATACACTTGGACCACTGAGGCTTGTCGGAGTAGCATTTCCGGATTAGTAAATGCAAATCACAGTAGTACTGTCAACAACGGCATCTTCGGAGCTGTTCTTATGTGTATACTATTCCCTTTAGGTTTTTTATGTACTTTTATGCGCTAAAGCCTCAGGTATTGAATGCTGTTACACTTTTCGTCCCTTATTTATAAAAAAACTAAGAATAGCAAGTTAGGCCGAGCAGTTTCAAACGACAGTGTTAATTCACGTTTTGATAAAAATTTCGTATTTCCTATGATGCTTTGATAATATAC